GGAACTTTTCATAACTTCAGCTCTATTGATACAGAGTGCATGTGGAGGCCCAGGTGTGTGTGTTTGTGTTTGTGGAGGAGGTATGTGTGTGTGTGTGTGATTGTATTGTAGCCCATGTATTGACACCAGTGACATTTCATTTGATGCTTGAAATTAGACAGAGGCAAAAAGGGAAATTTGTTGCTACTGAGAAAATGATCCATAACAAAACAGAGTGAGGAGGGAGATGGAAACAGGACAGGACAATGAGATAGGGAAAATGAAATGGAGAGTGGTGGAGGTGGTGGAGGAGGTGTAGGCGGCATCCTCAATGGACCAAAAAAAATATTCTTTTTAACTCTTACAAGAACCATATTTTAGTTTGTCACGAGTTGCAGCAGTACAAACTGATTTTGGTTTCAGTGATGATATTGAACGGTCAAGCAAGACGATAAAACAGGGAACGGTTTTATTGAAATGACTGTTTTTTCTAAACCATACATATTTATGAGATAAGATTATCAGATATTAAAGCTCAGCTTTTTCAGGGAATCAAGACTAAAAAAAATGCTGATTATCAATTAAGGCTTAAATGAGCATGATATTAATTTTACAGTGTTGCTCTTAGAGGAACATGATTCTTTAGTGCATGATATTAATTTTACAGTGTTGCTCTGAGAGGAACACGATTCTTTCAAGTGAACAGTTAACACCTTAAGATGCTGTACACATTGTGCATTTAGCTGGGCTACTAAGAGCGTTGCATTCATGGATTCATTTTGGATCATTCAGCAGCTGTGATTCTCAGTTTCTATCAGCACTTCTTAAATGACCACAGACTAGGCCAATCAGAGGCTGTGTCTGGGCCACATATGGCCAGGACATAAGAAAGGCACAATCTGTTAATATCAGCTGTAAACAAAACCTGGTTTGTCACCTTGAAATTGTCTTTTTTTTTTTGCTTGTTATAAAATACCACAGTAGTCCGTTAACAATATCACTTTAACGACTGACTGAGTCATAATATTACTGTAGGTCTATATGCACAACCTGGCATTTCAGAAGTTTTAGTATCTGTACACACAGATGTACAAGTCAATCTGTGGACATGATTACGACAGGAAATGATGAGAAGTTAAGTCAGGTCACGACGGTGGGCGAGTGAAGAATGGAGCCTTCAACAATTCTCTGCCGCAGAGATGGACTTTGTCTGTTCTGCTTTACTTGACAGCATCATTTTACACAAACCTAAATATGGTGTGGTTTACACGTGCAGTAAAGGCTGTAGTGAGGCAGCTACTTACACTGCTTCTGTAGTCATACCTCTTTCATCATTTTTAGAAAACCTCGTAACCTGCAGCCCTCAAGTGTCGAGGGCGCCCTTATTACAAAAGCTCAACAAGCCCATAAACCCGACGGAAACACCAACGTTCTGCATATGGTGGGATCTGGTTGTAAATACAACAGGTTGCTTGTAAAGATAGTACACATTCTCTGTATTTATTCAACCGACTGTTTTCATCCCTGGCGTCCATGACAATGGTTATTAGACAGGAGAGAAGGACGGGCGTACGGGAAGCGAGGGGCAGCTGGGGTCATTCATCTGCTCACCACGAGACTACAGTGTGGGAACAGGGAGGTAATAGCTGTTCTTCACTTCAGCAGTTAGCATCTGTGTTGCGCCACTGTGTTCCCTGAGCTTCCGGTTAACGAGGATTGTACCTGTCAGTTTTTAATGAGCGGCCCCACTCCACCAATTACACTGTGTGTTATCCAGCACGGAGGGTGATTTTGAGGATTTAGAGAGTAATAATGAGTTTTCTTGCTGGGCTCAGAAAATAGAGACAACAGTTTTAACATAAAGCCTCGGTTGTTATTATTTATATCTCGCTACAACTTTCATTACCTGAGAGATTTTAGGGGCTTAACGTTGGCGTCTGTGCACTGGATTGCAGTGTGTTGCAGCAGAGTCCACATGACTTACAGAAGCGTTTGAAGCAAATTTCAAATGTGAGCTGCACAGAACTGGTCTCTGCAGAAACACACAAAACTGTTAGATTTGTTTGTTCAGGAAAAGGCGTTGTCATCCAAATATATATACCAGATTTTCACCACTTAAATAGCTTGTAATTTCACCTCGGTTTAAATGTCTTAAATGCACAGGTGCAGTATAAGGCCAAAAGTCAAAAAGCTCATAGACAATTTAAAAACAACAAGTGTTGATTACGGATGCTGCTGAGGATTAAACGTCATAGAATATGTAGCTTAAAAATCACACCTTTCTACATACTGTATTTATTGCACATTAGCCGACAGCAGTAGGTGTGAAGTAAATGGTCGTTTGTTTGGTTGTTCCGACCTTTTCATAGGTGCAGCTGGTTCTGGAATCTACTCATTTTTGCCCTTCAACAAAATGTTAATAGCTTTTGTCAGAGGAAGCAGTTAGTATTTTCTTCCCTGAAGAAAAGAAAATAAAGGGCTTTTTTTTGGCAACCACAACTGTACCTCTGAGTTAAAATCTTCCCTTTATGCCAGGTGAAAATTTCAGGAGCAAAACAGAATTTGAATTAACCTCAACCATCACATTTATATGCCATTTGTTCATTATGCGTCTCTCACTATCCAGTTTATTAACTGCTACTTTCTAGACAATTATAAAAATGAGTATTGGAGAAACTGCTCAACCTGACGAATGTGAGTACTTTGTTGCTTAATGTTGCACATCACAATTAGCAATGTTCTCTGAGTTTGAGGATAGAAATGTCACATATTTCAAACAAAAAAAATCAATAATCCAATATGGTCTGGTATCTGTATCATTTAGTTTTTCTATTAAAACCTGTTTACAACTGAATCACACTACACCAGTCCTTCTTCTCTCCTTAATGGAATTTCTTGTCCCATTTCATCCATCTGTAACGTGCGATTAATGTGGATTCCCATATGTATTTAAATCAAATTAAATCAAAAAACAAGAGTGAAATACTGAAGTACTTACTAATCCACGTAGTGGAATTAACAGATTATAAGATATCATGTATGAGTATTAAAAAAAACAAAAAAAAGTCATACAACTGAAGAAAATATGTATGTTATTTTCTTTTGGCCTTTTTGATGAATTGTAAAGTCAGTGTACAGTTCCTTAACCAAATGGTGCTCTGTGCTATGGTGCCCTGACTGGCTGTTATGTCACGGGCCATTAGCTATCTGCTATTCTGACTGACTGCTGGCTCGGGCCAGAAGTTTCCTCAGATGCTTTTATTTTATCATCTCATCTTCAACCTTATTATGTTCTGTTTGAGACCAAATAAAACTGTGAGATTGGTTTAAAAGCAGGAGCAAGATATTACAAATACATTTGTAGAAGCCCCTGAAGAGGAACAATTGGATTTCTTTGTAAACAAGACAACATTATCTTCTTTATGCTGTGGGGTATTTGTTGTGTAATATCGATGGTTTTTTCTGTCGGTGTTGAAATGAGAACTCACAAGCTGCGTAGCACGTTTGTCAGTAGAGACTAAAATCAGGAGCTTCTTTACGGGGGGGTGGAGTTAACTCCAGTGGCCCAGGATTTAATTGAGCTGAACAGGAAAATATACATTTGTTGTAGTTTTGGGCCTGAAAGAATTGAACTCCAGCGTGTGTCACTCAGTGGGGTTTCTGCATAAGCTGTCATTTTCTCAGTTTGCTGCGTGTGTGCTGTCATCCCTGCAACATCGCCATCATGCTGGGGTTTATTTCGCTCTGCCATCCCCCCTCTCTCTCTCTATGGAGCCCACTGGAGGAGATTTAGTTTTTAGTGAGATGTGGTGCGGCGCAGTCGTTAATCTCAGCCGACAAACGTCACACTCCCTCTCTCTCAGGGTTTTTTGCGTGTTAATGTTGCACAAGGTTCTGCTCAGGAGGAGGCCAGATGATGACTAGTCATGGCTGGGTGAGGTTTGGAAAGAGAGCCACAGATTGCAGGGCCTCGGGCCGAGAGACTGATGGTCCGGTGCAACACACGCAGATCTGTGGGGGCAGCTGGGAACCCCAGGCCCCAGAAATGGCAGAGTCCGCTAATGACACCTTCCCGTGA